TTATACTTATTAATATTAACCAATATAAATAAAATTTTCCTCATTCAGAAAAAATTCAGAATTTAATAAAAATATAATATACTTGATAATATTGACCAATATAAATAAAATGTGCTTCCTTCAAACAAAATTCAAAATGTTAAAAATATATATTATACTTAACAATATTGACCAACATAAATATTTTTTTGTCTATCAAACAAAATTCAGAATTTAATAAAAATATATTATACTTGATAATATTGACTAATATAAATAAAATTTGTTTCCTTTAGAAAAAAAAATCAAAATTTAATAAAACTATATTATACTTAATTTATTGACCAACATAAATAAATTTGTCTCTTTCAAAAAAAATTCAGAATTTAATAAAAATATATTACACTTAATAATATTGACCAATATAAATAAAATTTGTTTCCTTCAGGCAAAATTCAAAATTTAATAAAAATATATTATACTTAATAATATTGACCAACATAAATAAATTTGTCACTTTCGGACAAAATTCAAAATTTAATAAAAATATATTATACTTAATAATATTGATCAACATAAATAAATTTGTCTCTTTCAAACAAAATTCAGAATTTAATAAAAATATATTGTACTTAATAATTATGTTGACCAACATAAATAAATTTGTCTCTTTCTGACAAAATTCAGAATTTAATAAAAATATATTATACTTAATAATATTGACCAATATAAATAAAATTTCTTTCCTTCAGAGAAAATTTAAAATTATAAAAATATATTATACTTAATAGTATTGACCAACATAAAAAAAAAATTGTCTCTTTCAAACAAAATTCAGAATTTAATAAAACTATGTTATACTAAATATTATTGACCAATATAAATAAAATTTGTCTCTTTCAAACAAAATCTAGAATTTAATAAAAATATATTATATCTAATGCTATTAATCTTCCAATGACCATTATTTTTAGTCTTTTCCTATCAACTCCCCTCTCACATATTTTATTTACCTAACCATCATTTGTTCCTCTCTATTTATACTCACCACAACAACAACAAAAAGTTCTATAAGTTCATAACATCTTTTTTCCATTTTCTCCTAAGTAAAATTTCTCCATTACAAATCTAGACATTTTCTTGATCCAATGGCATCATCAATTGCACAAAATGGACATGTTAATGGAGAAGTTGTAGCCATGGAATTATGCAAGAAATCAATTAATGTTGATGATCCATTGAATTGGGAAATGGCTGCTGATTCTTTAAGAGGGAATCATTTGGATGAAGTGAAAAAGATGGTGAATGAATTTAGAAAGCCAATTGTGAAACTTGGGGGTGAAACTTTGACAGTTGCACAAGTTGCATCCATTGCAAATGCTGATAACAAAAGTAATGGGGTCAAAGTAGAACTTTCTGAAAGTGCAAGGGCTGGTGTGAAAGCTAGTAGTGATTGGGTTATGGATAGTATGAGTAAAGGTACAGATAGTTATGGTGTGACTACTGGATTTGGTGACACATCTCATAGAAGAACAAAAAATGGTAGTGCTCTTCAAAAGGACCTTATTAGGTAAACTACTTTTTCCTGTTATATATACACTCACAACGTAAAGAATTTTTATATTTTTCGTATATATAGCTTATCGACTACCTTGAGTGCTCCATCTCGGGCAATAGACATCACCACTCTATTGAAAAAGTTTTTTTTATTTTCTTTTGAAGATGAAATACATTTTAATGTTATTTGTTTTCTATCTATAACATTTGGAACCATAGTTGATTATAAATTAGCTAAGTAACAAATTCGATTAATTGCATCATCTAAAATTAAAAACAACACATGTTTAAATTTATTTATACGTGTAACACAAATTTAGACTTTGAATTTCAGATGAACTCCCTCGGCCCCCTGATTGGTAGAATTCAGTTCGAAATCTAATCTTGATGACATTGATTTTGCAGGTTCTTGAATGCTGGAGTTTTTGGCAATGGAACAGAATCATCTCACGCATTGCCACATTCAGCAACAAGGGCAGCTATGCTTGTTAGGATCAATACTCTGCTTCAAGGCTACTCTGGCATTAGATTTGAAATTATGGAAGCAATTACTAAGTTGATCAACAGCAACATCACCCCGTGTTTGCCCCTTCGTGGTTCGATCACTGCCTCGGGTGATCTTGTCCCGTTGTCATACATTGTTGGTTTGCTCACTGGCAGGCCTAATTCCAAGGCTGTTGGACCCAATGGTGAGAAGTTTAATGCTGAGGAAGCATTGCGCGTGGCTGGTGTTAGTGGTGGATTTTTCGAGTTGCAGCCTAAAGAAGGACTTGCACTTGTGAATGGCACAGCAGTTGCATCTGGTATGGCATCAATAGTCGTGTTTGAGTCCAACATTCTTGCTGTTATGTCTGAAGTTTTATCAGCAATTTTCGCTGAAGTGATGAATGGAAAGCCCGAATTCACAGACTATTTGACACACAAGTTGAAGCATCACCCTGGTCAGATTGAGGCTGCTGCTATTATGGAACACATTTTGGATGGCAGCTCTTATGTTAAGGAAGCTCAGAAGCTCCATGAAATGGATCCTCTTCAAAAACCAAAGCAAGATCGTTATGCTCTCCGAACATCTCCACAATGGCTTGGCCCTCAAATTGAAGTCATACGCGCAGCAACTAAGATGATTGAGAGGGAGATTAACTCAGTGAACGACAATCCATTGATCGATGTTTCAAGAAACAAGGCCTTGCACGGTGGCAACTTTCAAGGCACCCATATTGGTGTGTCCATGGATAATACAAGATTGGCCCTTGCATCAATAGGGAAATTGATGTTTGCCCAATTATCGGAGCTTGTGAACGACTATTACAACAATGGGTTGCCATCTAATCTCTCAGCAGGAAGGAATCCAAGCTTGGACTATGGTTTCAAGGGAGCTGAAATCGCAATGGCTTCTTACTGCTCGGAACTTCAATTTTTGGCTAATCCAGTGACTAACCATGTACAAAGTGCTGAGCAACACAACCAAGATGTGAATTCCTTGGGCTTAATCTCAACAAGGAAAACCGCTGAGGCTGTGGACATCTTGAAGCTAATGTCATCAACCTATCTCGTTGCGCTTTGCCAAGCTATCGACTTAAGGCATTTGGAGGAGAACTTGAGGAATGCAGTTAAGAACGCAGTGAGCCAAGTAGCTAAGAGAACTTTGACAATGGGTGCTAATGGTGAACTTCATCCTGCAAGATTCTGCAAAAAGGAATTGCTACAAGTTGTGGACAGGGAATACCTATTTGCCTATGCTGATGATCCTTGCAACTCCAACTACCCTTTGATGCAGAAGTTGAGACAAGTCCTTGTTGATCATGCTATGAATAATGGTGAAAGTGAGAAGAATGTGAACAGCTCAATCTTCCAAAAGATTATAGCTTTCGAGGACGAATTGAGGGCTGTGTTGCCTAAAGAAGTTGAGAGTGCAAGAGTTGTTGTTGAAAGTGGCAACCCTGCAATTCCTAACAGGATCACAGAATGCAGATCATATCCATTGTACAGGTTGGTGAGACAAGAACTTGGAACAGAAGTGTTGACAGGTGAAAAAGTTCGATCGCCCGGTGAGGAGATTGACAAGGTGTTCACAGCAATGTGCAATGGACAGATCATTGATCCATTGTTGGAGTGTCTCAAGAGCTGGAATGGTGCTCCTCTTCCAATCTGCTAGGTGTTTGTCAAGTGCTATTTTCCAAATTCAGTTTTTACCTTATGGTGAATTTACTAGATATGTTTTGAACTTATTATCATTTTATTTCCTTTGGGGCTGTTTGTTAGGAATATGCTGTTATTTCTTGGCATGACATAAAAGAAGCATTAATGGTCACTTTTGGCCTTTATAACAATCATCGTCCCCAATTTTAAACTATACCAAGGTCAATAAATGGAAAGGTTGTTAAATCTTTTCTTTAATTTGTAGTTGAAGTGTTGTAGTCTATTACAAATTTTATTTTGGTTGTATGATCTTTTCTATACGAGATCGGTGAAATAACACAAGAGATCTGTTAAGAAAAGCCATTACATTTTTGCGATTTTTCTTTAAAAAAAATATAGGTGGATGCATGTACATATATTTGATGAGACCATTTAGAAAATATGATGGATGTGTGTATATATAGATGTTTCCTGGATATTTTTGTATAATTGGATGAGGGTGTTTAAGTTTCTTTGAGTGTTTTTGCAACAATGGGCTAAGGTTGTTAAATCCCTAAAACTTTTCTTTAATTATTCATTGTCGAAGTTTTGTAATAAATTACCTTTCTTTTTCGTTAAAGATAAATTATAATATGTTTGTGAAGTGAATGGTATCAACAAGTTTCTATTTTTAATTTTGACAAAGTTGGGACCATTTTGTTGTCACTTACCACTCATTTGTATATGCATGTAATGTAGACATAATTATTTTGATTCATTTTACTTCATATATCTAGTGAAATTCTTGGAAAAAGAAGGAGAAAAGATGTTAAAGTAGGTAGTGTGGTTGCTACTTTACATGGACTTTGAAGTCAAGGGGACAATAATGGACTAATTAAGGTTGTAGAATTTTTAATTTTTTTTTCTTTGATTTATAATCGAAGCATCATAGTTCATTTAAATTTTGCAGTATAATCCTTTTTTCAATAAATTAAAATGATGGAAGAACCCGTGATAAAGAAATATTTAAGAGGGGAATAACTTAGTACTACTAAAATTTTGTATTTTACAACAATTACATACTTAAAAAAACCTAGAAGAACAAAGAAGTTTGAATCCGAAAAGTATGCTAGTCAATTCTTTAACAAAAATACTTGTGTCCCTTTAAAAATATTGGATAAAATTGAAACGAGACAATTAACGCGCTTGGATAACACACTTCATTTGGCCACATACAATTAAACAAAGAAAGGTATAGCTCAAATTTTAACAATATGACATTTACAATATTGAGAAGTAAAAATGTTATTTTTGGGGTGGCGGAGAAAGGACTCCGGGAGGAGGTGCTGGTGGTGGCGGTCCATAGTACGGAGGAACCATGGCGGCTTCTCGGCGGCCTCGTGACTTACCAAAGAGGTAACAAGCAAGAGCTGAGATAAGGATGATCAGAATCAATGGCAGTGATATTACAATCACAAAACCCATTGATTCAAGTTTTTCTTAAACCTAAAGGCTTTAATTTCCTGCCAAAATTATTGTGTGCACACGTTAAAACAAGACGACTTTTAATACCTAAGTTATATGTACTAACGATACAAATAAAAGTTTTATATGGATTTTAAAAATCACAAATAGGTGTTATGATTCAGTTAACAGAAGATCTTAAACTACCAAAAATAGTGCAAATTTAACGCACATGTATCTGAAATACATGAAATTCAACGTGCCAGATACATGTATCCAGAACTAATCTCGCACAACTCATATATTATTGAAACAAACTATCGTAAAAAAAAAAAACTTCTGGTGATCTGTCAAGACTTATCACCGAGTTGTGAATCTCAAGTTCAAATTCATAAAATTAATACCCTATTTGTATAAATCACTTGAATCTAAATTAATCGGACACAGGAGATCATCAACCATATATCATGCCGACATACAGGAAGGTAAGGGAATCAAGGGTAAATAAAAATACAAGATGAGCAAACAAATACTAATTGAACATATTCGATATAATTTTATAACCGATAACGAAAAGAATAAATTAGAAAAAATAAAACTTACCTTGTTGTTCTGACAACACCACAAAATTCATAAACCGATGGATCACCTCGTTCTGAAACTGAAACAGAACTTTAATTTCTTCACTCTTTAAAATCTGGAAAAAGACATTGGATTTAGGATTTTGGTGCTGTTTTTTTTCTTTTTTTTAGGTGTTTTTTTTTTTTGAATTATGATAAAGATGATGACGTGTCTGAATATAAAGGCTTTCAATACGAGTGAATGACAGCTTTTTATTTTTGTTGATCTTTATAACTGGTATTACTTTCGTCCACTTTTAATTGTCATTTTATATTTTCTCGAAAGTTAATTTGACTAAAAATTTTAAAACTAATTTAAATTACATTAATTTGATATTTTAAATTAAAAAAATTAGATATTCAAAAACTATCCAAATTTACTATAAATTACAATAAAATGAAAAAAAAAATATCATAAAATATTAGTCAAAATTTATATAATTCAACAAAAATCATGACAATTAAAAATAGACGGAACAAAAACATACTTTTTGTTTAGTTGACGTAAGAAAGTGTAGACAACTCATTTATAGCATCAATACTTGGCACATAGGTTTAATAGGTTGCGTTTTTTCCAATCCATAACCACATACACACGAGATGCTTTCCTATTTCATATTCGATCGCTCATTCGATTATCCGAATTAAAATTTGATTAATCGTGATGTCAATCAACATCATATAAGATTTTATTCGAAAGAAACGCATTTCTAATCAAAAAAATTATGTTCTCAAAACCTAAATCTAAGATCTCTTCATTAAAAAAAATGCAATATCATCCACTACACGATATCTTTTTATGATTAACTTATAAGGGTGCGTTGGACTTAAATTCTTTTTTCCAGAGTGTTCCTTATATATGGACGGAGAGCGAATAAAGTTTCATATTAATGTTAATAACTTTGAGTACATTCAAAACTTACGTAAGATATAAGAATTTCATAATGATATTTTGAAAGAAAAAAATCATGTAAAATTTAACTTTGAAACGAATAATATCATATTATATAGTAAAAATATTTTTAAAATGATTCAACCTAATAATTGATGGTAGAGCCCAAATTCAATACGATAAATAATATGAAAATGACAGTACGATAAAATGTAAGGCTCGATTTTCGATTTTATTCTACAAAATACCACAATATCATTTAACACAACTTAAAAGTAATATTTCATTCTAATAAAAAAATACAAAATTAAGAAACATACATGATACAACAAGATATAAAAAGTTCTTTAAACAAAATTAAAGGGTTTCATTTTATTTATTTTATTATGAGGAATTATTTGGATAATTATATAATCACCATCTACCCCTTGATCTTCCAAAGAAGTAACAAGCAATGGCTATTAAAATCAATACCAATATAGCCAAAGGCAATGATATCACTAGTACATGCATCTTCTCTTTTTATAATATGATATATTCCTGCATTCATACAAAAATATTTTTTTATTAATTCCAATCAATTGTAAGGTAAGCTCAAATTAATTTTAGATATGCCATATCTTTAAAATATTCTTTAAATTCATACTTCCTTTGCTTTAATTTATATGACATTCAAATTTCGAGAGTAAAAATTTTTTTAAATGCAATTTATTCATATATTTTTAATGTCTGAATGTGCGATCAAAATAAAATATTTAGTCTCAAAATTTAAAACTATATCATATAAATTGAGATAAAAATATATTTCATAATTTAAAAATTTTTTTTAAAAAAAAAGGTGCAAAACTCTTCCTTTACCATAAGACAAATTAAGAAGATAGGTACATACCTTGTCTAGTATCAAAACTCCTTAGATTGAACTTTTCTTGTATTTTCCTTTTAATTACAAATCCCAAAACTCACATAAATAAAAATGGAAAGTAAGAAGTTTTAGTAGACACAAAAAGGAAAAATTGGAGAGTTCATATGATATAAGCAAATTAAAAGAATAAAAAATAAAAATGACAAAAGGAAAGGAATTACCATAAAGTGACACGAAATGCTTTCAACTTTCTACGTGTATGAGTTTAGACGAGGTTCCTTCCTTGTCATGACAACCGCGCTCAGATATAAAATTTATTAACTCGATTAATTTAATTTTGATAATATCAACATTTCATTTTAATTTACGTAATATATTTTTATTTTATTTATAACTACACAAATATATATGATTTATCGACTTCATATCTATCCTAAGTTGGAGGATATAAATTAGAACAAACGAAGGGAGTAATAGGAAGTACTTTCATAAATACAAAACCAAGAAAGAAGTGACAACATAATATAGCGCTATTTCCTAGGGTTCTATAATTAAAAATCCATATATAACGAATTTGCTAATATAAATATATTATTTAAACGAATTAATATTATTAAATTCAGTCAAATTCGTATTCAGACTTCTAACTCCATCGAGCAGAAGAAGCATAATAGAACATTTTGGAGTAAAATTTATCAGCAACAACCCCTTGATCTTCCACACATGTAACAAACAATGGCTACTATCAATACCACTATAATCAAAGGCAATGAAATCACTATTACATACATCTTCTATATATTTCTCTTAGCCCCTCCTGCATTGACACAAAAATAAATTTATCAATAAATCAATTGATTTATTTAGTTAATTTACTCGCTATGTTCTAATTTATGTAGCTTTATTCATTTTTTGAGAGTTAAAATTTAACTAGTAGTTAAATTGTATCAAAACAACTTAATATTTTAAAATTAAAAATAGAAGTACGGTAAGTTGCAAAAAAATACTCTCATGCCAATAAAATGAAAAGAGTATATTATAAAAATATAAATCAAAGTCAATATAATTTGAATTCGAAAAAAAAAAATGTATAACAAAAATAAAAATAAGGAGATAAATAACGAAGCCAACACCCAAGTAAAATTTAAGGAACGTTTGGTTCATAGAATAAGATTAATATTCTTAAATTTAAGATTAAATATTTAAATCTATACTTTATTTGGGTTAAAAGATATAACTAATCTCGGAATATATTTTTAAATTAAGTGTTATTTTATCTCACCCAAAAATTAAAAAAGTTAATCACAAAATTATAGTTTCAAAATATCTTTATCTATGAACTAAACGATTCAACGATGCAAGAACATGAAAGAAGGTATTTGAAATAAAAAGAAAAGTGGTTTTTGACAAATGTGACTCTCCTTAATCATTAGAATAATAATTTCTATAGAAAATAAAATCAGTTTTCGTATGCCTCAATTAAATTTATGTATCTTATCTAGTAAATTTTTATCACCGCTAAAATCTAAAACTCTTTATTAATCACTCGATCACATTTTTAATTGAGATTTAAATGATTTTTTATTTCATTTTCATTCGAGAGAATTTTAATTTAAATTATCTGGATCTCGATCTTTTAAGTAGATCTTCTTCTTCTTCCTCTTCTTTTCAACCGCATATTCAGTAACGATGGTTAAAATTACTATAAGGCACATTACTAGTATCAATCACCTCCACCATTAATTATATTTTACTATTGATTGTCACTATAGTTAATCACATCGATTATCAATTATCATTAATTTTTATTATGTTACCATAAATATTGATTGTTACAAATAATCACCTCTATTATTGGTTATGACTGTTCAAACATCACCTTTGGTCCACCTATGCACAATCATAGACAATAATCACTCACCAATCATACAAAATCATGAGATAATATATATATATATATATATATATAGTGTTACCTTGGTTTCTATAATTAAAATTCAAATATAACGAATTTACTAATATAAATATATTATTTAAACGAATATTATTAAATTTAGACAAATTTGTATTCAGACTTCTAGCTCCATCGAGCAGAAGAAGCATAATAGAACATTTTGGAGTGAATTGTATTAGCAACAACCCCTTGATCTTCCACACATGTAACAAACAATGGCTACTATTAATACCAATATAATCAAAGGCAATGAAATCACTATTACATACATCTTCTATATATTTTCTCTTAGCCCTCCTGCATTGACACAAAAATAAATTTATCAATAAATCAATTGATTTATTTAGTTATTTAATTTATTCACTACGTTCTAATTTAAGTAGTTTTTCATTTTTGAGAGTTTAATTTAACTAATAGTTAATTGTTCAAAATAACTTAATATTTTAAAATTAAAAATAGAAGTACTGTAAGTTGCAAAAAAGTATTCTCATGCCAATAAATGAAAAGAGAATATTATAAAAAATATAAATCAAAGTCAATATAATTTGAATTTCGAAAAAAAAATGTATAACATAAATAAGAATAAGGAGATAAATAACAAAGCCAACACCCAAGTAAAATTTAAGGATCATTCGATTCATAGAATAAGATTGGATATTCTTAAATATAATTTAAGATTAAATATTTAAATCTATACTTTATTTGGGTTAAATGATATAACTAATCTCAGAATATATTTATACCTTAAATTAAGTGTTATTTTATCTCACTCGAAAAATTAAAAAAAAATTGATCACAAAATTATAACTTCAAAATATTTTTATCTATGAACTAAACGACTCAACTGATACAAATGCTACTCTCCTTAACTAATCATTAGAATAATTAATTTCTATAGAGAATAAAATCAGATTTCGTATGCCTCAATAAAATTTATGTATCTTATCTAATAACTTTTGTTTCCGCTAAAATCTAAAACTCTTTCTTAATCACTCGATCACATTTTTAATTGAGATTTAAATGATTTTTTGTTTCATTTTCATTCAAGAGAATTTGAATTTAAATTATCTGGATCTCGATTTTTTTAAGTAGATCTCCTTCTTTTTTTCAAAGGCGTATTCAATAACCATGACTAAAATTACTATAAACTACCAATTTAAATTATTTTTACTATTGATTGTCACTATAGTTAATCACATCGACTATCAATTATCATTCATTTTTATTATGTTACCATAAATATTGATCGTTACAAATAATCACCTCTATTATTGGTTATGACTGTTCAAACATCACCTTTGGTCCACCTATGCACAATAATCGACAATAATCGCTCACAATTTATTTTTAAATATATTTTACCAATCATACAAAATCATTCAAATAATCTTAATTATTTAGTGTTCAAGTAAAAAAGAAATCAAATGAAAAAAAGATTGTGACACAAAAGGGCATGAACCTTAATACATGAGGAAACAATAGAAATGGATTGGTTGCTTATCTAATACTCAAATTGGATCAATAATCGATATTTAGATTTCATTATAAATCTAGTTAATTATTTCTTTTTAGTAACGTAAATCAATAATTCAACCACATTCTTCGAATTTAGTTCGATTATACATGCTAAAGTATATAAAATAAGATAGAAATACATACCTTTATCTACCAAAACTTCTAGTTGATCTTTGTTTGTCAATAAAACAAAGCTAAAACTCACATAAATAGAATGGGAAAGAGAAGAAGTTAAGCAAATGTTATAGAAACTTTGCAAGAAAGAAAAGACAAGTGGAGAGTGATATAATGCAATAGAAAGAAGAAGAAAAGATTGAAAAAGACAGCAACTTTAATTCTACGCGTATGATGTAAGACCACAATACATTTAACTTTTTCTTTCGAAATATGAAATTTATCAATCTGATTAATTAAATTTCAATCAAAAAAAATTTAAAAATCTTTGACTAAGAGTCAAGGGTGAAATATCAACCACCAAATCATACTCTAGCATAATTATCTCATCTTCGATAATGGTCTAATATTTTGATGTCCTAAGCAGCGAATCACACAATAATTTATGTCAAATTTAATGATTAAATTCTACTCAGACGTAGAAGTAAATTTAAGATTTTAAATTTATGAAATCTGAAATATAAGATAGAATAATATACTGATTTTTCAAAATGGATTATTTACATATGTTTAGAAAAATATAAATTATAAAATTTTATTGAACCTATAATGATGACAATAATTTCAACTAAAGCGATAAGGATAAGAATTCTTTATTGGAATATGGTTGTCCTTCTTCTAGCCATTTCACATTCATCCTCTTTGATCTTTATACTCCTTTTATTGCAATTAGGTCACAAATCTAAAAAAAGAAAAAATTAGTCACACAAAGTTATTTACATATTTAAGAAGATAAAATTTCAAAAATCTATTCATATTATGTCACAAAAATAGAATGGAGAGAAATATTGTTGTGTAAATCTCCTCTAACAACCAATAAAGAGTTGTGATGGAATGACTAAAATCTCTTCACTTAAACAAGATGTAAAGAGTTCAAACTCTAAGTAAGAATAAGTAAGAAAACACCTATTAGGTAGCACTTTCCCCTTTATATTGGCCTTGCGCGATGCGAATCATGAGACCATAAAAAGAGGAATTTTCCTCTATTATTCTACACTTAACTAATAGTTCCCCACAAAAAAAGAGGTAAAGTTATAACTTATATGGCATCTAAGTGCAAACTACATCAGCTACAACTAACATTCCCACCGCATAAAAAGGAAAGTAGCAATACACAATACAACAACACATACCCAGTGTAGTCCCACATAATGAGTTTGAGACGCATAACTTATGCCTACCTCAGAGCTAGAGGACGAGGTGGTTTCCAATAGACCCTCGGATCAAGGAAAGTAGTAATATACAACCTTTTTGATATTAAAAGAAATTCAGAGCTGGAGGTTGTTTCCATTGGTTCAACATAGCACTATGGAAAGAAAAGGAAGAGCACTGCAAATTGCACCACATAATACATATCTTGTAATAACATCTTTTCCTGCCTTTTAGCCCGTTTCATTTCACCATTGCAGTTTTACATTAACCTCGTTACAACATTTTATCCTATGTATACAGATTGAGGTACAAGGGGTGGGGTGAATAAGCTGCAAAGATTCAAATACACATGAGATACAGGGAGGTAGTTGAGGAGGGGGGGATATTTCACAGAAACTAAGAACAAGTCTAACAATGGTGATCTCACCAGTCAATTGCTATGAACTGAGAAAGAAGCATTACAAGACGAACGGGGGTGACGAGGCCGACAGCGTTACTTTGCGTGGTCCAGCAACTCCACCCACCTCCTGGTTTCCTACTGGCTTATTGGATAGTCGACGTTTATAGCGCTTGAGGACGGATGCCAGGTTCTCTTTTCCTTTAGGAAAGGCTACATCCCCTGCTGCAGTGCCCGTTCGTCCCTTTCGACAGGAAATTGCCGTCTCCACGTCTTTGATCATCTCTAAGAGCATTGTTGCAGTCGTGCATTTTCCTCGGCCCTGTTTTGCTTGTGGCGGCAAGTTTCCATTTGAAATTGGAGGGGGGCTTGCCTTTTGCTGGCGGCCAACCGGAATTTGAAGACAAAAACAATGGCTCGTAGGAGAACGGGGCTTCGAAAATGCCAGATCTACTATGCCCTGAAGTTGGTAAATGATTCATCAGATAAATAATAAATCTTATACTAGCAGCTATTGAGGTTGACACATTGATGTAGAACATTTCTTGAGCGTCAAGACTAACTCAATTATAGCACTTTCCCACTGTTCCAAGAAAAAACAATTTCAAACAAATGACCCCCACCCTACGGTTTCATGGCGTCTTTGATGCTTTTACCACTTGTTTAGCCACCTTAAAATGGAAGGACCAGGATAGTCACTACAATGTCTTTTTTGGCACGGTACAAGGTCCAACGATGAATCTAACACAAAATACGGTTATTTAAACCTTAAATGATGTGATATAAGCTTTGAAGAGGGTTTTCATGAAGGATTGTGGGATAACACCAAAAAGCATGCTTCATTTCTTCAATGCTTAAAAATAGCTTTTCATTAAAAAATTATTGAAAGAAACAGAAAACTTCAAGAATTCTGTGAATGAACAAAAGATAGATAGGATATGAGGCTTTACCTGAAGACGGTTGAGAACATAGGTATATTTGCCCCACAACTCTGGCCTACTTTCCATAAGTGAAAGCTCAAGAATTCTGTGAATGCACCACACACCGAAGCTTACAATCAGATCTACTTTCCAAACACAACCTTCTCCACAGTGAGGAACTGACATCACCAAGAACTTGGTGTAATCCATCTCTTCAGGTTTTGGGGCAGAACCAGGTTTCCTGTTGGAAGAGAAGTGTGATTCACCAATGTTGGTCAACCTACTTATCTCCCTGGTTTCAGCTTCATAGAGAAATTTCTCTCTTGCAGCAATCCGACCTATAAGATCCTCATCAGCCCCATCATCTTGCCTAAATAACCACTCAGATCCTTCCAGTTTCAGAAGTTTCACAATACAACTTCTGAAAGACTGAAGCAGCTTAGCTTCCAAGTCAACCGTAGATGTACTCTCCTGAGCAGATGAACTCTGCACAGTTCCATGATCACCGCTACCAACATCTGGCTTACCAGCTACACCAAATTGCTCAAAAGGCTGTCTAGACCACAGGGATCCAGTCCCTGAATTGGAGCTGTACTGCAAGGAGAACGCATCTCTGCAGACTTTAGGAGAATGTTCATACCTCTGAGGACCACCTGCCCTAAGTGAACCACTCATATAGGCTTGTTCGTACGTAGATCGACCACCAGATTGTTCGAATCCCATGGAATTGTACCATTGAGCTCTCCCATCTGAGACTAAAGAATCTTGGCGAGGAACATAGCGCCCTGAGATATCAGGCAAGCTGTAGTACTTCTTAGAGTTGGCTGAGCCAGCCACGCTTTCAGCAGTTTCAGTAGAGCTAAGGTCGATAGAGGTGTTATTGGGCTGCATGGAATTATTTCGGGCTACAGGGACATTTCCAAAACCAGGTGGTGCTCGACTACTGACTCCACTCTGAGGTTTTTGCCCCGAAGCACGAGCCAATGGTTCGGCATAGTTTGACGTCAGTGATGATACAGAACGAGGAGATGGTGACTCCAGTTGCCCATTTAAATAATCAGATCCTCTTTCTTTCGCAAGTTGATTAAGGTAAGCAGTAATTTGATATCCATGCACAGTGGCAGGCTGCTGATCATAGCCAGCAGAAGTCGCTGGAATCCGCATACTAGAATAGCGCCTCTCCCCTGGGTCAAGTATGTTGCTGTTGGAACTTTGCACGTACGCACCTACTAATTTCATATGGTTAGACCACATAGAAGATGTCGAAGAAGGCTCCTTTGGGACTCTATAAGCAGAGTCCACAATGCTTGACGCAAATTGCTGCTTGGGAGAGTACATATTCGAGTTGATCAGAGACTCTGGTATCCTTGCACTCCCCAATGGAATATACGCATTGCTTTCCACTTTTAATGATGCAGGGGCAGGTTTTGGATTCATCTTTGAATCCAGACCAAGTATTATATCCAGTTTCTTGGACTTTGCTTCTGCTGTGGCCATGCCATGGTAATCAAAAAGCTGCCCCCAAAACTCATTTAGAGCTTCTGTTAACTGCCTCCTAGCTGCGCGACCAAGACCTGCTAATCTTGATAGACTTCCCGTACCACTCCCCGTGTCCTCTAGTTTTCCACTTAGACTTTTGTATGACCCCGGACCATCAGAAATAAAAGATGGAGTGTTCTCAGATACTCCTTTGATTGCCTCTTCAGGCTCCTCCCATGAATCTCCATCATCCCTGTCATTTGCTATGTCCCCTTCAATTCTGAGAGTCTTCTCTACGACATCCACAGATTCAGTATTGAAGACACTGGTATCCACAGATACAACACCAGACACCTCATTACAAACACTTTTCACACCGGAACTTGCTCCTGCTGATACAGATACCTCAGGATGACCGACAGCAGGAGCTGAAAATGTTGTTTCAGATTTGCTCTCATCAATAGTAGCCAAATGATGGACCTTTTCAAAATCCAAGAGTGATTCTGGCAAGAGTTGATCAAGATCTTTAGTTGATAAATCTGGATGGCTTACCAAGGATTTATCCACATGAAATGCACCTTCTTGCTTTTGGGAGGACCCTTCTACTAGACCAAACATAGTATTACTCACACCAAGTTGATTACACTCTAAATATGGCTCAGGCATAGGCGTTTGCAGAAATGCCTGAGCATCGAACCTGGAACTTGCAGATTTCAGTGGAGTAACTGCTAACCACAGCATCAGACAAAGAGATAAAGAGGCCGCAATGAGGAGAAAAACGTATGGAGTAGACACACTACTCCCAAAAGTCCACTTTAAATTATTAACCCAATCACTATTTCCAAATATCATCTCTATGACAAATATAATCTTTAGGCCAAGTAAGCCAATAAATGTGCCAAGAGATAAGAACTCCATTAACTGAGAAATTTTGTGAATACCCATAATTGATCTGGAAGAAGCAACTCTGAACAGGGGTATGACAGAAGATGGAAGCACAAGAGCAACCACAACCTGTGTTAATATTAGTAACTGATATAGGCCTTCAGCTCCTGAATTCCATACACAATAAAGGGCTGGGACAATGGAAATAACTCTGATCGTCACATGATGAAGCCAGCCTGGGATGTCCATTCCAAATA